AGACCAGATATTTCATGTAGATTTTTTAAAATGAAGTTAGATACAATGATCTCATATTTTAAGAAAGGAAAAGGGTTTGTAAAAGTTGATGCAGGTAATTTATCACTTTTCTTATTTTATATGTTTAAGTTATTACAATTAATATAAAATCCAGTTATTATGATTTTTGACAAAACTTAAATATAATGTTTTCATAGGTATGTATACGGTAGAATTTCAAAAAAAAGGGGCTTCCACATGTTCATATTTTGTTGTGGTTAAATGGAGAGAATAATTTAAATACACCAGATCAAATTGATAAACTTATATTTGCTGAATTGCCTAACCTGAGTTCTTGCTCAAGATTATACAAGGCAGTTACAAAATTTATGGTTCATGGTCCATGTGGAACTGGTAACCGTAATAGCCCATGCATGAAAGAAGGATATTGCACAAAATATTTCCCAAAAAAATTTCAGAATACTACTTACATTGATGAAGATGGCTATCCTTCTTACGTAAGGAGAAATTCTGAATTACAACAACAAAAAAGGGAGTGGAGATGGATAATAGAAATATTGTTCCTTACAATCCAATTCTTTTGATGAAGTACCAAGCCCATATTAACATGGAGTATTGTAACAAGTCAAATGCTATTAAGTATTTATTCAAATATGTGAACAAAGGTCCAGATAGAGCTATCCTGGAAATATCCAAAGAATTTGAGAAGGATGGAAATTCCTGTTATGTTGATGAAATCAAACAATTTTACGATTGCATATATCTTTCTTCATGTGAAGCTGTGTGGAGAATCTTGGCATTTGATATTCATGAAAGATGGCCTGCAGTTCAGAGGTTAAATTTTCATTTACCCAATTATCAAATTGTTTTTTTAAAGATGATGAAAGAAGAAAGGTTTCTCAATTGGCAGGCTTTATTATATCCCTCCAGGGACAGGCAAGCTTTATTATCTACGTTTGTTGTTAACAATGAAGCGTGGTTGTTGTGATTATGAGAGTATAAGAACTGTTAATGGAGTTATATTGAACAATTTTCAAGAAGCATGCTACTCATTAGGACTTTTATGTGATGACAAAGAATTTGTTGATGGAATAAAGGAAGCAAATGAGTTTTGTTTAGGACATGAGCTATGAAAACTATTTGTGACGTTATTGATGTGCAATACAATGGCCAAACCAGATTATGTGTGGGAGAAAACATGGACGATGCTATCTAATGATATTCTTTATCAACAAAGGAAGAAAAATAGGAATCCAAGTATTAGCTTTATTTTATTTAAGAGTACATGGTCATTGTTTGTATACATTTCTTTACTGAAATTCTTTGTATATAAGGACTAAAAATATTTTTAATAGTTGGATATTTGAGTAATGAGTGAATTTATCTAAAAATACTTTTAATAGTTGGATATTTGAGTAATGAGTGAATTTATCCTATTTTTACATATTTTACTTTAAATGACCAAGACTTGAAAAATCTTTGTTTGGTCGAGGTTGAAAAACTTCTTCAAAGCAATGGAAGATTATTAAGAGACTACACTTGTATGTCAATTATACAAGATTCAATTTTCAGTTTGGTTGAAAATAAGTTCATAGCAGATGAGCTCAATTACAACACAACTGAATTGGCTAAACAACACTGCAGACTTCTAGATTCTTCAACAATGGAGCAAAAAGATGTTTACCATGAAATCATGAGCTCAGTCTTAAATAAATCTGGCGGTTTTTTCTTATATGGATATGGAGGAACAGGAAAAACATACATTTGGAATACTCTATCAGCAACTCTTCAATCTAAACAACTTATTGTTCTCAATGTGGCTTCAAGTGGTATTGCTTCTTTACTTCTTCCTGGAGGAAGGACAACTCATTCCAGATTTTCAATTCCATTAATGACTGATAATACATCCACGTGTAACATCAAGCAATGAAGTTTGAAAGCTGATCTATTAATCAACACAAGTCTTATAATATGGGATGAAGCCCCCATGCTTAATAAATTTTGTTTTGAAGCTCTAGATCGTACATTAAGAGATCTAATGAGAGTGAGAAATTCAAATAGTATGAATGAACCTTTCGGTAGAAAAGTTGTTGTCTTGGGAGGAGATTTTAGACAAATACTTCTGGTTATTCCAAAAGGTAGTCGTGAAGGTGTTCTTTCAGTAACTGTCAACTCTTCTTATCTATGGGCTCATTGCAAAGTGCTCAAGTTGACAAAAAATATGAGATTATCAGCATCAGTAGAAAACACTTCTGCTATAAATGAAACTAAGTTTTTTGCAGATTGGATTCTTCAAATAGGCGATGGACAAATCGAGTTCACGATGATGAAGATTGTATATTTGAAATTCCAGAAGAGTTTCTCATTCTTGAAAAGGATAATAGTCTTATGCATTTAGTAGAATTTGCATATCCAAATTTAGTCCATAATTATGCTGATTTTAAATTCTTTGAACAGAGAGCAATATTAGCGCTTACTTGTGAAAGTGTTAAGAAAGTAAATGAATTAATTATCTCTTTAATGCCTGGAAAAGAAATACAATATTTAAGTTCTGATTCAACTTGCTCATTTGATGAAAATTCTGAAACAGAAGGTGAGTGGTTTACTACTGAATCTTTGAATGGAGTTAAGTGTTTAGGAATTCCAAACGACAGATTAATTTTGAAGATAAGTGTTCCAGTTATGCTTTTGAGGAATATAGATCAAGCAAATAGATTATGCAATGAAACTAGACTAATTATTAATCAATTGGAAAGAAACATAATTGCAGCCACTGTTATTACAGGAAGAAATATTGGTGATAAAGTATTTATCCCAAGAATGAATTTAGTTCCTTCAGATTCTCGATTACAAGTTTCAAAGAAGACAATTTCCATTAGCTCTTTGTTTTGCAATGACTATTAATAAGAGTTAAGGTCAAACACTTTCTAATGTTGGTCTTTACTTATCAAGGCCAGTGTTCTCCTATAGTCAATTATATGTTGTTATCTCAAGAGTGAGAAAGAAAGATGGATTGAAAATGTTTTTAGATGAAGATGAGAAGCCAACCAGATTTACATCAAATGTAGTATTCAAAGAAGTTTTTGACAAGATATAAGAATGTATTTAAATATTACTTATTGTTATTCAGATTTTGTTTACTATATTTCTTATATAGTTTGTTGTTATATTGTGTAAATGATTACCGGACGAAATACATTTTTTACTTAATCTTTTTTATTTTATGACAAAATAACAACACTTACTTTAATAATTATAATAATCTTAGTTTATTTATATTATTCTAAAATAATATGATCAAAATGTATTTTATTTGAATAGTAAAAAAATAATTAATATATTTATATTATTAAATTAATTTCTTTAACAAAGAGTAAGAAAATAATTATGTTTATATTAATAATAAAAAATAACAGATAATCACCGATGTATATTTGATCTGTTATAAGTTTATATGATAAATATATAGAAATTAAATTATTAATTTTGTCTAAATTTATTTTATAATTTTATAATAATAAAATTTATTAAATTTAATATTATAAATTATTCCGTACATTGCACGGGAGTCCATTAAACAAGAATATATTCTTTAAGCAGTCATATATTGAAGTTATCTATGTGTTATTCAACTTATATTTATTGAAATAGTTAGAAATAGTGAGTATATTTACCTTATTTAATTAAGTTTTCACATAAAAAAATAAGGAAATAACAAAATTTATCTTAATAGTCAAAATAATTTTTATACTGACTAATTGCCAATTATAAAAACAAAGGTTATTGAGAATTCACTCACTACAAATGTGTCCAATAAATATATGTTTTAAATAAAAATTATAATCAAAATATACATTAGTGCATTATATATCATACATTATTAATAAATAAAAAAATAATTTTATAACAAAATAACAACGCTTACTTTAATAATTATAATAATCTTAGTTTATTTATATTATTCTAAAATAATGTGATTAAAATATATTTTATTTGAATAGTAAAAAATAATTAATATATTTATATTATTAAATTAATTTCTTTAATGAAAAAATAATTATTTTATATTAATAATGATAAATAACACTAATATATATATTTTTATCTATTATATGTTTATATAATAAATAAATACAAATTAAATTATTAAATAATTTAAATTTATTTTATCATTTTTAATAAAAAAATTTAAAATTTAATAATATAAATTATTCCGTGCATTGCACGGGTGCCCTAGTGTGTATATATATATATATTGTAATTAAGTAAAATTCTTTCATCAAATTTATTGTTTATAAATTATTGAAATAATAACAAAAAGAAGTTAATTGATAAGTGAGTAATATGTTATCACACCTATTATGATTTATGAATCTATTTTATCATTGTGTAAACTCCCCCTGGCTGTATATAAGGCATTAAAACAAAGAACATGCAACCGATTGAGGTGTATAGATAGATAGATAGAATGTTTGTATCAATAACAGACACTTAATATAATTGGATCACAACACATTTATAATTTGTGACTAAGAGGAATGAAGAATTGACCAGAGAATTGTAGAAGCTTTATTTCATTCAATTATAATGCAAGTCTTACGTCATGATATTTTTCTTGCCCAAGTTTCTTTCACCAAATATTGATTGAATTTCTTGTCACATGTACTTTAAAGCTTGCATTTGCAAATACATTAACGGTGTTACAGTATCATATATTAAGGAGGACATTATCATTCTTAACTCCAACACTTGAACGGTGAACATCATGAATATATATAACCTTGTTTACAAAGGGGAAACAGACAAACCTTTGATGATCATAATTTTGGAATACCTAGTTATAAGATAGCACTGAATTAAAACAATACCATCTAAAGAGTTGAATGATCTTCTCATCAGCTTCTCATCAGCTTGCTTATAAATAGCAAATATCAAAGCACTTTCTTTTCATCGACAAACATTGACACAAGTTTTCAATTGTTTCAAGTGAGTTAGGGACAATGGGTTCCAAGGGTTTTCTTGTTCTTGTTATGCTCTTGGCTTCTCTCCTTGTTCTTTATGCCGAGGTTGCTCCAAAAGATGTAGACAACAAATTTGATAGAAAAGATGGTAATTCCTTTCACGTGTTTTTCATCATTACGTAATATTAGTCGCGCAAGTCTATTTGTAGTGTAATCTATGGTAATTCATTTTTTTTTCTCGTGCTTGTTATTAGGATAATCTTACCAAATTATTTGATCAAGCTTTAGATCACTCGAATTCCTATGCAAAAACATTATCTTTTTTCTTTTTTTTTTTTTGTCAAATTTACCTTTTTATCCGTAAAAATGTTTGATCAAAATTCACTATCCTTCGAAAGGTACACGAGGAACTGTACACAAATTTTGACAATTAACTGTTGAGGACTAGCTGTTCTAAACATTTCATTAGCTTCAAATACGTATTTAATTTTTTATATTTTTATAAATTATAATTTTAGAGATTTCTAACTTTTGTTATTTTATTTTTCATTTTTTAAAAAAATTTGGCACTTAAAATTTCTATTATTTACTTAGTTAACTAAAAAGTTGTTATTTGTCAATTTCTTATGAGGTCACATCATCGTTAGGAATAAAAAATGAGAAATTTTTAAAATATAAAAATAAATACATATTTTAACTATTGCTTTAGGTCTTATTCATAAAAAATAATTACTAATATTTCTTTTGTTTTAAATATATGAAATGATTTTATTTTTCAAATATATTAATTGTTAAATTCTTTTATACTTTTATTTATTATAAAATATGTTTTAACGAGATGTGAATCTTTTATCTATAAAATTTGACACTTTCATTGATTTAACATATAATACACTAATTTTATCATTTAATACTACAAGTGTTTATGAAATTAAATATAAATTTATTATATATAATTATTTTTAATAATTTTAATAAATTAGGTATTTATTTATTATAAATAGAATTGAATGTAGTATTTTATTGAGGTGAATAAATAAAATATGATGATGAACATTAATTATTTGACGTACCTAATATTCTTCTCTTTTGTTGATAGATGACATTGATATAAGTGGGGTAGACGCCATGAAATACGGCTACAGAGGATGGCATGGTTGGGGTTGGGGCCGTGGTTGGGGGTATTGTTACTATGGATGTTGCGATTGGAATTACTATGGTCGTTGTATAAGGTGCTGTTATTATCGTGGTGAACATGTTGATGCTCAAACTCATGATCAACCTCAAAACTAATAGTTACGTTCTTGTTATCCCTACAAATAAAACTTCTCCTGAGAAGTGTAGCTATGCATGCATAGAATAAAAGCGAAAATCTAATTCCCTGTATTCGCCAGATGAATAATGGAATTGACATGATTCTCCCTTTGCAATTTCTTTCTTTTCTTCTTGTCTTATGTTTTTCGTTTTCTTTTCTTTTTTTCATTTGTCTTCTATCCGTTCGATTTGACTAAAATTAATGGGAGGGAACCACATCGATGCTAGGGTTCCCCTCAAAGTTTTCCATTGCTATTGCAAGTGCTTGTCCTCGAGATGGTTGTTTGTCATTCAAAGTAGCATATCGATTCATATGACCTAGATTGGCCTTTGGGAAATCCCTGGTTAAATGACTATAGTAACCATAAGTTGAGAAAATCTAGTGGAAACCTTGTATTCAACTTTGTACTAGAAACTCTCTAGCTAGGCCTTGCTAATAATTGGTGTTTTAAAGCCAATCTCAATGTACACTCATCCTCTCCTAATATTACTATTAGCTTTGATTGGTTTTCTTATCCCTATTGCCAATACTAAAAGAATACTTCCATCATAATAGAAAATATTTACACTTAAAAAATAGATATTTGTAGGCAAATATACTCATTGAAAAGTAATAAAAAAAATTTTTAATTAAGTTTCCAGAATATTTGTCCCACAAAAATTGCTTCTAATTACTAAGACTATCGTAATTTAATTATTTAAACTTAAATAACGCGCAAGAAAAAAAATTTAAACTAAGAAAGAGTAATTAATTAAAAAGAAAGCAATATAACTATTAACACGAATCTATTCGAGATAAATATAGAATTTTCGATTTTACTTTTACACTTTTTTATGTTCATTTTTAGTTTAATCCTAATCCTGATTTCCTATGATTGCTAATTACTCATACTAAAACTATTAACATCCAATAATTATGAAATATTAATATTCTTTTTCTAAATTATTACCCCTAATAGTCATGTAAGGCAAAAATAGAGAAAAAGTATAAAGAGTCTTTATGTTTATTAATTTAATAACTGATTGAAAGAACTAAGTTTAGTTTACTTAATTCTTTATCCTGTTTTATCTTATAGTTCTATTAATTACATGCAGCACAGTTGCCTATAATAAAATTAATTATAATATATTAAAGTGATCATTCCAAACGTATAGATATAAACAGATTAAAGGAAAACAAATTTGAAAAAAAAAATTGTAATTATCATTAAACAGAAAAATCATATAAAGTATGTAAAGGATTTATCATAATTCTAACTATAGATTTAGCTGCTTATAATAAAATAAGAAGGAAAAAATAAATCCATATTTATTTGAAAAGAAATACAAACTAAAAAAAATTAAAAAAAAAAAAAGTTATTCTTCCTAAAGATACTCTCTATCACTTGTTCATATTCCAAAAAAAGTATCTTTTGTCTTCTTCAATTTCTTCAATGGTCTTTACTCCCAAGCTGGAAGGACCTTTTAAAGTTTGGAATTGGCATTGATTTCGACACAAGTGTTGACATTGCCAAATTTCAATGAAAAATTCACAATTGAAACAGATGCTTTTGGGCAAGGAATTGGAGCAGCGCTATTACAAAGGGGTTATCCTGCTACCTATGTAAGCAAGGCAATGGGCAAAAAGTATCGATTGTTGTCAGCATATGAGAAAAAAATTTATGCCATACTCTTTGTTGTCAAGAAGTGGCAACATTATGGTAATCATTTTCTCATGAAGACAGATAAAAAGCTTTGAAAAATATTTTAAAACAACCACCCACAACTTTGATGCATAATTGGGGGTTAAAAATATTAATGGGTTTGGATTTCACCATTAAATATAAGAAAGGGAAGGAAAATATGGTTGCCGATGCATTATTAAGACGAGAGGCAGCTAGTAGCTTAGCAACAATATTCCAAGTAGGCTCAGATCTTCTACTGGTGGTAAAACTTTCTGGGGAAGACAATAATAATCTAAGGAAAGTGATGGATAAGTTGCGAGTAACACAATAGCCATACAAATAGTACCAGTGGGAGGGGACGATTCTAAGGCGTAAAGGAAAGATTGGAGTTGGAAATGATGTAACGCTGGAACAAAAACTTTTGTCTTATTTCAATGAATCACCTATTGGAGAACACTTAGACAGTACTCAGACTTACAAATGTCTTAAAGTGGTGTTTACATGGAAAGGATTGCCGTGATGTGAAGGAATGGGTCATAAATTGTGTCACATGCCAATGTTTTAAACCTCAATTAGCCTTGTCCGCAGGGCTCTTACAGCCACTTCCTATTCCAGAGCAAGCCTGACAATCTATAAACATAGACTTCATAGTTGGCCTTCCGAAATCATATGGTATGACTGTGATTTTGGTTGTCATTGTTAGATTGACAAAGTATGCACATTTTATGGATTTTGGACACCCCTGAGCGCGACTAAGGTGGCTAAAGTATTTATGGACAACATAGCCAAATTACACGGTTGGCTGAAACATATAATTTCAGACAGAGATCCTCATTTTAATGAGTGCCTTCTGGAGGGACCTATTCAAGATACTTGGGGTAGAGCTTCAAAAGTCAACGACTTTCCATCCATAAACTAATGGACAATATGAAGCTTTGAACAAAGCGTTGGAAGTATACTTACGTTGTTACTGGGGATATATCAACCAAATGGTCACAGTTTCTAGCTTTAGCAGAATTTTGGTAAAAATACATAATTTCACTTAGCAACCCAACTTACTCCTTTTGAGGGACTATATGGGTATCCTCCGACTACTAACACCCCCTTACTTGTTGGTGATTCATTGGTGCAAGTCATCGACTACACAGTTACGACAAGGGAGCATATTGGCCAACTGTTGCAGACTAATCTACAAAAGGCTCAAGTACGCATGAAATGGCACACGGACAAAAGGAGGTCAGACAAAGCTTTTGCTTGTGGGAATTGAGTATATTTGAAGTTACAACCACTCAAACAACACACCTTGCCTAATACCTCTTTCCATAAATTGGCTGGTCGATATTATGGACCATATTTAGTAACAGAAAGGGTGGAAAATATAGCATAAATTTTGGAATTACCTGAAAGGGCACGAATGCATAATGTGTTCCATGTGTCTCTTCTTACGAAGCACCATGGCAACCACTTAGTTTCACAACAACTGCCTTCTTAAGATGAGGAAGGGGAATTCTAGGCTCGCCCATTGGCCATATTGGACTTAAGAATGAAGAAACGTGGAAACGTGCTAGTTACTGAGGTGTTGGTTCAGTGGGAACACACCAGTCCAGAAAATGCAACTTGGCAAGAACTTCATTCCCTCAGACAGCAATATCCAAATTTTCCATGAGAGGCTTCCTAGTTTTCGAAGGTTCTAAGATGACCTTGGGGGTAAGGGGGGGATCTTTTTCTAAGTAGATTAGTATATTTTTATTTAGTTGTTAATTCCATTATTTATACATTATGGACAAGTGTTATTAGAGAAAACGTGGGAATTGTCCTTAGAGTACAGGAATAACTTATAAATAATCATCTCGTAATTGGAAAGCACCAATTTTTCAATAATACAATGTTTCGTTCTTCGTTGAAACCTAGTATAATAATTCTCTGAGAGAATTGATGTGTACGTTTGTTGTGGTTCAGTTGGGAGAAAAGTGAGTAGATTTAGTCCTAACAGATATTTTCTGTCTTATTTTCTTTCTCCTTACCTTTATCATCATCGTGTGATGTGATGCGTCATTGTTAGAACTCTCGACTCTAATTGAACTCGTGGAAAAAAAAGAAACTTTCATTATTGCAATTAAAATTGGAAAATTGCACTAGAAAAAAAAAAAGTAGTTTTTATAAAAAAATTATAAAAATAAAGGTTTAAATATATTCTAATCTTTATAAATACAATTAAATTAAATTTAACTTTTTTATCTTTTTGTTAATTTTGAGCATCATAAGTTTTAATTTATTAAATATTTCATGTTATCACTTTATAATAATGAGTATGACGTGCAACATACATTTAATAATGTTTAATCAATAATTTTTTTTAAAATGTTAATTTAAATTCTGATAACTGAATTTAAATACTTAAAAATAGTAAGTTTTTATTAAAAAAATATTTTTATGAAATTTTTATAATTTTAATATAATAAATATATTTTTCAAATATACTTTTGTTACTTTTAGATGCTAGCTTAAATTTAATTCTAAGAATTGATGTTAATAAAAAAAAAATCTAATTAAAGAGGCTAAAAGTCCAATAAAAGAAACATGTTGACCAAACTTTTTATTTTTGTTTTAACAAACAACATTACACCCGGTCGAACTGCATTGATAGATACAACGTTGGTTCAAATCACCCGACTCTTTGTCCAGCAATTATTCAAGGGCTATGTATTTAGTTTGAGATTGAGAGGAATGAAGAATTGACCGTGTTTCATTCACCAAAAGTTAATTGATTTTCTTGTCAGATACACTTTAAAGCTTGCACTGCAGATACATTAACGGTGTTGAGGTATTATATATTAGAGAAAGACATGATCATTTTTAACTCCAACACTGCAAGATCATGCATATAACCTTGTTACAAATAAAGGGGAAACAGACAAACATTTGATTATCATAATTTTGGAATACTTGGTTATAAGATAAGACTGAATTAAATCAATACCAACTAAAGAGTTAGTTAATGATCTTGTTCTATTTCTTCTCACCTTGCCTATAAATAGAGAATATCTTGGCACTTCCTTTTCATCGATAAACACTGACACGAGTTTTCAATTGTCTCAGAGTGAGTTAGGGAAAATGGGTTCCAAGGCTTTGCTTGTTCTTGTTATGCTCTTGGCTTCTGTCCTTGTTCTCTATGCTGAGGCTGCACCCAAAGATGTAGACGAGAAATTTTATAAGAATGATGGTAATTCCTTTCACGTGTACCCCATTACTTAATATTAGTGCAAGTTTAATAGTAGAATAGATTTCTGATAATATTTTTTCATGGTTGTTCTAAATTTATGAAAATATTTTAAAGGGTTTAAATTATAATATCTTTAAATTTTGAATTTAATTATAATAAATATTATTATTTGGCTGTTTCCAACTTTTCTTAGCTATGATATTTATTTTAAATTGATAGATACTTATCACCTAAAATTATAATGTTGGCATATTTATTTTTCTATTAATTACATTTCTTTTTATTATTTTAATGTTTCTAATCGCTGAAATGTTATCTTTTTAAAATGGGAATCTATTATTTCCTTTATATACTCTTTCTATTTTGATTCTCGAAAATTTTTTGGTTAATGAGATTTATTTATTTTTGTATTTGGTGATTGAAAGGGGCTAAAACCCAAAATAAAAATAACACTATGATATCTCTAGGAGCATAAACTGCCATTACATCATGCAACAGCAACAAATAAATTTCTTGCTCACAAAAAGCTGTAGCAGTATCATGATTACTCCCCATGTTAGTAAGCTTATCAACACACACGTTTTTTTTCTCTATAGATATATGAGAAACACTAACATCTATTTCCAACTTAAAATATGACGAATTCTTAATATCAAGCTCGTTCCACTAAAACTGCCACCAATATACCTTTGACATCAGTTTGGGAATTCAGTTTTCGAGTTGATGTTTCAGAAGAGCCTGTTGTATTATGGGACATGTTCACAGTATCTTGATACAAATAAATCCTTAAGAAACAATTTCATTTAATATTTCTCAGGCTACTTTTCTGTAATATTTTAAACAATTCTTACCAATTTATTTAATCAAGCTTTAGGTTAATCAAATTCCTATGCAGAAAATACTATCCCTTTTTCCTAAAAGAAACCGGAAAATATTAATCTTAATCATTAGAACTGAAAATAAGTAAAAAAAAAATATTAAAAAAATAAACATTTATTATACTTTTATAACTTTAATACAATAAATATGTTCTATCGTAAATTTAAAAAAATATTTTTAAATGTTTAAATTTAATTCCAAAGACCGAGGTTATCAAAATCTAAAAAACTTGCTTTCCTATCCAAGTACATGAAGAATTTTATGCACATTTTGACAATTATACAACTGTTGGGGGATAGCAGTTCTAAAACTTAATCATTATCTTTAAATGTTTTTAGTTTCTATATTTTGTAGTATTTTACGTTTAATTTTTCTAAATTTTGTTATTATAGCTTCTGACTTTTTAAAATTTAACACTTTTTTTGCTATTTAAAATTTAACACTTTAAATATCTATTAATGACTTGTTTAATTAAAGTGGTAATCAATTGTCAATTTTCTTTTGTAAAGTGGTCATTATTTTAAATAACAATGACAAATTAGAAAAGGAAAATCAAAAGTTGAAACAAAAATAACTTAAAAAATAAAATTAAAATCTAAAAAAAAGTAAAAAAATATAATTACACCATTTCATTATTTTGTTAGTTGTATGTAAGTAAATAAAATATGATGAACATTAATTATTGGAACTACCTAATTATTTTAATATTTTCTTTTGTTCACAGGTGACATTGACACAAATGGTGTAGATGACATGAAATATGGCCACGGAGGATGGCATGGCGGAGGAAGACGAGGCTGGGGAGGTCGAGGCGGAGGCTGGGGCGGTCGAGGCGGTGGTTGGGGCTGGGGCCACGGTTGGGGCCGTGGTTGGGGGTATTGTTACTATGGATGTTGCGGTTGGAATTACTATGGTCGTTGTGTAAGTTGCTGTTATTATCCTGGTGAACATGTTGATGCTCAAACTCATGCTCAACCTCAAAACTAATTTTAGGTTCTTCTTATCACTACAAATAAAACTTCTCCTGAGAAGTGTAGCTATGTATGCATAGAATAAAAGTCAAAATCTAATTCCATGTATTCGCCAGATGAATAATGGAATTGACATGATTCTCCCTTTGCAATTTCACCTCTTTATTTTTCCTTGTCTTATGTTTTTATTGTTTATTTCTATTTTTCCTTTGTTTTCTCTCCATTTCTCCCCAGAAAGACAATTGCTCAAGGAGTTTGCAGAACTAAAAACTGTGATACCAAATTAATACAAATAAAAGTTGGTTCTCACACAAGTTATAAATTAGTCACTTAGATTCCAAAGATTCTTAAATCATATATCTATATATGTTTCAGTAACACTTTCTGGAAGGTGAATGTTTTCATGATTTTTCAAGTTTTAGTTAAAAAGATAAGAATTGTATTGATTGAACTCCGTAAATTGAGAGATCACTAATTTATGCTTGTCGTACGGCGGATTTCTGTTGAATATTTGTATGATTTTCAATTCCAGAGTTAAAGCAGAAATTTGTTTCATACTTTCATTAAACTAGCCTCAATTTCCATCAGTTATGGTTTTTATACTGAGAAATGCATTTAAGAGTTTTATTTTTAAAAAAAAATTTATGTAATTTTTACTGTAATAGTATAATTTTTCTTATTTTAATTTTACATTTAATTTATCTCTATATAATAATTTTCTAAAGTTAAATTTGATAAAAATTGTGAAGTAATAATTGTTTTAAAAAAATAAAATTTATGAAAAGTGACTATTATTTTGATCCATAAAGAGTATTAGTATTGCTTATACTATAAATAAAATTAGTACACCATTTGAAAAATAAAGTATTTACTTACTTACCTTAATTGATTTGATTTATCTTAAAGATCTCACTTCAATCCAAAATAACTCTTTAGTTATATTAGCATGTAAGAGAGACATAGAATGCTACATAATATATTAAGGCTCAAGTTTCCAATGTACAGTTTATCTAATTTTATAACTTATTACATAATTAATTATTATAAAATAATATTGAATTAAAAAAAATTTAAATAATTCAAAATTACTAAAAATAAATAATTATTTAAATTTGGTCCAAGAACCATTAAAAATTGGCCCAAATTAGATCCACACCATGCCTCAACAATGATCCAAGTTATTTTTCCTCATCCAGCATAATCGACATATTGCAATCCAAGGCTTGTTTGGTTTGGAATTCAAAGGCGCTCTAAATTCCTTATGAAATTTTGGAAATGGTGGATTATTGTGTGAGAAATATAAATTTGAAGATAGAGCAGCCACCTTAGAAAATTTAGATTCAATAAGGAACTTCAAGGTAAATAAAGAGAGAATAAAAATCAACCATAATGGAAAAGGTTACCGTGGACTTTGACCAAGCCCATGAAGCTTTGGGATATCAAGCTAGTGACAAGAATGAAGCGTTTGATGGAAGGCAACCCATTGGAATAATTATAGATATTTTTACTTAGATTGATTTGTTTTTATTTTATTCTATTTTTACAATATCACATACTTTAATATTTTTAACATACTTTTTTTTTTTTTTTATGTAAGAACAAAGTAAACAATTCATTGAGCTTTCAGTTTTTCAAAATGCTTGGTAACTTCTATCCTTTAAACATAGTTATGTTGATAACAAGATGTTCATATTATAGAAATTAAGGCATCTACGCAAGATTTTGGGCTTAAAAATTTCAAGTGTTGTCATAAGCTTTGTGTTCAAGAGGATGATATATATATATTGAATTTGTTTTGTAAAAGTTTTAGCTTTTTAGTAAATTGAAGGATTTGATGTTGTGAAATTTTGCAATATAAAGAAGATGTTCATGTGGTTTTGAGGAGTTTTAATGGATTATTCATGTGTCAAGAATTATTGGTGTGCTTGTGTTTTCATAAATATGTTGATCGGGGGTATAGGTTGATGCTTTGTAATGTATTAGTGTTTTGATGTGAAAAATTTTATCTCAATACTTAAGAAAGTGCTTCTTCATAATTCGTGTAGCTACACTAAATTTTGCGTAGCCTCCATGCCTAGTTACGCCTTTTTTAATACAATTCTTCATAACAAGTTACCATATTGACTCGCATAGCCATGCCACTCAATACAGGAACTCACAATAATATGCTTCAAGATTTAAACACTTCTTCGTCTCACTCTTCACACACATATCCTCCAATTGCCCAAATCCTCTTCTCGTGCTTCTTGTTCTAAGCTTCACACACACCATAACATTCTTCATTCTTGCTTAATTTCTTTCTCCCATATCCTTGCTTTATTAAGTTTTATTATTTTGTGCTTCAAGTTTCTCCATTAAAGCTCACCTCAAAGTATGGCCATGAAAACCCGTTTTCTCCAATTGTTATATTTGCTCGTTTTATATGAATCTTTATGACTTTCTCACTCTTTCAACTTCTTTGAAATCAAGGGTTTATGTTTTATAAATTTGGGGATTTTGTGATTGAAATTCTTTCAAATGTCTTGATGTTTGGTTAGTTAATGAGTTGTTAATCATTTGTGACTTGTATTTTATAATGTTTGTTTACTCATTACACTATACTACTCTTGTTTTTCATTGTTATATAAAATATTAAAGTAATTTGGACTCTAGCATCTAAGAGATAATACTTTTCATATTACAAAACGAGTGATACACTTGTCATTAAGGTAAATAATTAACAATGGTTACGCTCAAAGCTCTAAAGGTGGAGAGTAAGAACATTCAAGAAGAACAAATTAGACTGGAATGAGCTCAAAAAGTTGTTTATGACAACATGTCAAAGCTAAATAAGAGTTGAGGTTTTCGCACCCAACCATCACTTTAGGCCTTAGTCATTGTCCTTATGCGTTCTTGTAATTCATTTATAGTTTGTACCTTTTGACTAACCATATTAATATATTCTATTTTTGTTTCATATATTGTTGGTTTATATTCTTTAAATATTTATTGTTTATAGACATTATTTAAGTACTTTCCCAATTTAAGGACCATTTTTTGAAGAACTTAATTTTTTTAAGGCGATAATATCACCTTCCACAATAAGTCATATTAGAATGTTTTTGGTCAAACTCCTTTTTCATAAAAACGCACTAAGTCATTTAAATCATCAAGCATTAAGTTTCCAACAATGATCCGGAGGTAGGTTGCTTTGTCTTTGTACTCAAACTGACTGCAAATCACTTCAAGTGGTAAAATCACATCATAGCCATACATTAGTTAAAATGGCTTAGTTTCAATTGTCTCTTTGGACGAAGTTCTACAGGCCCAAAGTACTTGAAACAACGTTTTATGTTAAACTTCTGACTTTCGACCAATGTACTTTTTTTTAATAATGTGATGATAACTTTATTAACCGCTTCCTCTTAGCCATTGGCCTAAGCATAATAAGGAGTTAAGTTGAGCATTTTAATTTCCAGTGAGTTAGTATATCTAATGGTCCTTTGACCAATAAATACGATTCCTAGATCTATGATTAGACTTTCAGGTATATAGAACCTGCATATTATATTCTCTTCTATGAACTTGATGACATTTTCTTGCCAAATTCCTTACAAAGGAATAGCTTTGACTCTTTTAGGTGGAAATTTCATATTTGAAATGACCTAATTATCGAATACAATTATGGGGTTGGATTGGTAACCTCTCTTATATTTTAAGAGGAAATTTCAGGCCAATTAATTTAGTTAACTATAATTGATGAGGTTTTAGAGGAGCTTAACGGTCAAATTATAGAAAAACTAATAATAGAAACATAAAGGAGGCTGCAAGATGTAACACCCTCATTTTTATTCTTTTGTTTTTGGAAAAAATAAAAATTTTGGTGCAAAACTTCTCGCTTAAAAGGAATAAATATTTTTGAAATAGACTTTTTGTAGCATTTTCGCTCAAACAAGATAAGTCTCGCTCAAGTGAGAAAGGATAAAATTGTCTTAACTGTCCTTTCGCCTAGGCAAGAGTATGGCTCGCCTAAGCGAGAAGTGGCTCGCCTATGTGGCCTTGCAGGAAAATCTAGAAAGTCTTTGAACCATTCTGGCTCAAGCGAGAATATAAGAAAAAAGGCAAGAAAATCATTATTTGGTTTTCTTACGCAAGTGAAAACGCGCAGGTTTGAAGGGTATTTAAGAAAGTTCACGTTAAGAAATTTCATTTTTTACCTAAACCATCTCTCCTTCTCTATTCTCTCTGTTCTCTCCCTCTTCCTTCCTAGAGAAAGCCTCTAATAACTCTAGATCTCTCTTGGATCTGAGCTTAAACGTTTATTCCACTCGAATCTAATTAAGTTTCTGAAGCTTAACCCTTGAATCTTGTTCATATTTCTTTGTTCTCTTTTTCATAATAGTAATCTACCCTTTGATATTTAGAAAAACTATAGTCCTTGAATAGTGTTTATGATCAAAAGACATGGAGTTTCTCTCTCGAGTCCATGAAGAACTTAGTTTTAGAGATCTATTTTCAGGTGAGGAGAGTTATTCTTGAACCTTAGATTCTATATAAATATGTATATTGATCTTGAAAGAATTGAGTTATCTAATTCTAAATAGCAAATTCATAGAGTTTTCTTGAAATTATATGATGAAAATGGACTTTTAAGTAAATGAGTTTTTTGATCTATTTCAAATCATTTAAGATAAATTTTACCATAAAAAGTTACAAGTAAGAATGAGTTTAAGAAGGTTTTATAGACAAGTTACTCATTATATACACACACACACACACACATGTATAGTCAATGTTGCAAGTTATTATCTTTTTTAATAATATGTGTTGAATGATGGAAAGTTGAAAATGCTAAACTTTAAGCTAGAAGACTTTATTAAGAATGAGAGAGTGTGATCTCCAACAATATATTCCTGTAGTGTACGATTTGGACTAAGTCTGAGGGTGTTTGACCCTTGGTGTATTGTGTTGATTTATATGATAATATATTATTGTTTTATGAATATGTGCTAAAATAAAGAACTTGATTTTATATGAAATTGACAAAAATTATTTAACTATTTGAATAAAGAAATGTATTTCATTATAAATATGTGAACTAGATTAAGTCTGGATGTATGAAATATTATATATGTTTTACTTAATAAAAATGATGAGAAAGAGATGAAGAAAAATGTAATAGTAAATAATGATGTCTGAAATTGATGTGTATATACGAAAGTTGTTGATGCATGAGACGGATGTGAATATATGAAAGTTGTTGGTAAATGAAATTGGCAGAAATATATGAAAGTGTCAAGAAAATGAAAGTAAAAAAAGAGTAGCTAATATGTGTCACCAAAACACCAATTGATATGATTATGATATGTGTTGTAATATATCGACGAGTGAGATTATAACACATATGTTGTAGTACATTGATTAGTGTAATTGTAACACATGTAATGAAACTGTATGATTTGATATGTCACTATTAAGATACTATATGGATAGTTCAGGGATACATTAGGGGTATATGGTTTGGAGTTAATTATGAAAATTTGGGTGAAATGAAAATGGTAAATATTGTTCACTGATGAGTATACAAGTAAAAGTGGAATGCATTTACAGGACTTACACTTATTTCTTAATTGAACTTCTAACTATACCTTTGCTTGGAGGGCTGTGAACGCACACATTGTATTTATGTGTAGTTTGGCTGACAGGCGACTATTCATGTTGCGTAAGTCCTTTTCTCACTGGTTTCATTTGATTTGGATTTGAAATAAGATAGATATGAATTTTTGAATATTATGATATGTGTGAATGATTTCCTGACAACACCTCACTATAAATTCTCTTCGTCTTAAATTTCATGCACAATATTATTTTATTTATTATTATTTTACAAAATTAGACTTCATAAGAAAAATATTCTCTCTGAGTTTATAGAAATTGAAGTTAAAAATTAAATGCTTATGATTTTTACAATATGTTGTTGTATGAGCGTAACGTTTTGTGCATGCTACTGAGAAATCTATTTTCGTTTTAAAATGTATAAGTGACATTATTTTATTATTATTTTGATTAACTTTGGACTTAAAAATAAAAATAGTTATGATTTTTCTAGTTAATTGATTCTAAGAAATAAGTTATTGTGAGTAATAGAGAATAATTAGGACTGGTTATGAAATATGAAAGTGATGAATTTTTACTTGTATTGTTTTGCAAAACTATATAACCAAAGTGAAAGAATGCCACTGGTTTCATGAATTTTGGTGGTGAATTGAATAAATTATGATTTTTCCAATATGTTGTTGTTAAATTATGCTATTCTATGACATGTACTGAGAAATTAAAGCACAAATTGATGTTTGAGAATAGTTTGATTTTGGAAGTATTTTTACATGAAAATAGACATGTTAATGATAATAATCTTACTAGTCTCATGTGTTTTGGATGAGAATTGAATTTATTATGAATTTTACAATATGCTGGCTGTTTAGTGAAATGATCTGAGAATAGCAGAGGTAAATTGAGACTTGATTAATTCTTTAGAAGCTTTTACATTTTTACTGTAATTTTATATTACAGTAGACATTTAAAGGAAGAAAACCTTGGTGATTTCATGATGTTTGGACTTGTATCGAATTAGTTATGAATTTTACAAGTTAGTTCATGAAATCTGAAAAATTCTGATTGTTAGCCATGTCCATGTAATTGATTGTTCTCTTGAAATAGAGATGTTATAATGTACCTGTTGGACAATTAATGTCTATGATATTATTTGTGTTTATGATTATGAAAGAGGTTAAAGGCGATGAGCAAATAGTGTTGGTCTTACCATAAGGGATACGAGAGTGTCTAAGACTTATAACTTACAAGAGACCAAGTCTAGCTAACTTGTGTCATAGGCAATGGAAACTTTGCTAGCCTATCCTGACAGACACTAGAGTATACCAAGATTGGTTTGAGTGTGGGCTGTTAGTAGTGATCATAAAATGAGAATTGTGCACTTATATTCAGTCTCCAGTAAAGGGAGAAGATGTACCTATGACACTAGCTAAATTGCATACACAGAACTCTCAATCTCAACTTGAAAATAAAATATTAGATAATGAATTAATTACTCCATAGAGAATTCACAAACAAAAGACATTGAATGATTGTTGCTTGATCTTTGAATGTTGTTTTGTTCATTTAAGCACATGTATGGGGATGCTTGATATCGTTGATGTTTGAATGATGTTTTGTTCATTTAAGCATATGTATTGCCTTGTATTATTGTTTATACATGTTTGTACTCACCCTTCTTCTTTGTTTTGTATCTTTTGACAATGTTATGGATACATAATGACTCTCCTCTAAATGAACCAAAGGAGTAGGAGATTAGCTAACTAGGGAGTAGCTTAAGATTGTTGCAACTAGTTACATGTTTAGTGATTTGTCTTTAAGGATCACCATGTAGACCTTCGGTTCTTTTATGATGTAATTAATTGAATGACAAGAAGAAATTTAGAAGGTTTGTAACCTATTAAACACTATAATATTATATCATTGTATGATATTAGTGCTTTTGTGTAAAAGAGTTAGTTAATGCTTTAGACATAATTGACTCTTATATATGTTATTAAAAAAAAAACTTAGATATTTTTCTAAGAAATATCAAATAAAAGAGATTGAACTATTAAAAATAGCAACGTCTTATGATTAAAGCTACAAAGTCTGCATTTAACTCCAAATGTTTGGTCAATTGGTTGACCATTCACTCTAAGCAGTGATTTGACAAATGCTATATTACCGATTAATCTCATTTTAAGACATGAATTCTCACCATTCACTCTAAGGAGTGATTTGACAAATGCCATATTATCCATTAGTCTCATTATAAGACATGAATTCTGACCATTCACTATAAGGAGTGATTTGACAAATGCCATGTTATCCATTAGTCTCATTTTAAGACATGAATTCAATAATTTTTTTCAGCTGTGTGTGCGCGTTTTGAGCTAGTAACTTCACGAATTCTCGTTCCAATCAATCGAGTTTGAAGGTCTAATCCGATTTTCATGATTTTCTAAACTAAATCAATTCTTCACCCATTGAGAGGTACATCTCAACTTAGAGGTTGGATGGGAAGATCCAGTAATTAATATTAGTCTGATTACGGCGAATACAATGATGCAATTTTTCGTCGTTAATTGCACGTGGTGATCTAAGATCATATCTGATATCGTTAAATTTCTTACACGTTAAAGCTAGTAAAGCGTGTTGTCATGTAGATAATCAATTGATATTTTTGCTGATACGTTTGTAACAATGATAGAATCAAATTCATGTTGCTTTTTTCTTTATAAATTAAATTAGATTTTTGGCGGTGCAATCCACATGAAAAAATATATTAATTGAAATGGAAAGTTGATTAGATTGCTGTTGAAACTCTTTCATTTAATGAATTTTTTTTCATTTCATTTTAGCTTTAAGTCGTGAACGCATATTCTCATGCATATAATTAGTAAATCAATTGATATTTTCTTTACCATATTTTACAATGTAAATAACAAACTCGTATGATCAAACAAGTCTTTGAGCGGTTCAAGCACGCCAGGACAAAATATATCAATTGACAAAAATGTAGAATTTGACCAGAGAATGGCTTAAACTTTGTTTCATTCATTGAAATGCACTTCGTGCGTCACGATGGATTACGTGCACAGAGTTGTATGCACCGAGAATTAATTGAATTATTTGTCATGCACTCTAAGAGATACAATCGCATTAATATTTGTTGTGTCATAGCTGCTTAGAAGTCCACATTATTGTTCTCAACCCTAATACTAGCAATTCAGATAGTCAAGACCATGCATATCCTCGTCAAGGCAATTGAGCCTCTTACACTGTGCTATAATGTGATTACCTCTTTCAACTCAAATACAAACGAAAACCAAGTGGAGACGGACAAGATTCTGATGATAATTTTGGAAATTTAAGTTTTATAAGATAAGAATAAATTAAAATATATTCCCCTACCAAGTCAAGAATTCAAAATTGTTTCTTGTTCCCACTTAGCTTCCTCAATTGCTTATATATAGTGAATATTCAGCCACTCCCTTCACATCGATACGTGTACAAGCTTTTTACTAGTTCAAACCGTGTTCCAAAAATGGGTTCCAAAGGTTTGCTTGTTCTAGTGATGTTCACGGCCACTATACTTCTGATCTCCTCTGAGGTTGCACCCAATGATTTCGAGGAGAATTTTGACACAAAAGATGGTAATTCTTGTGCTGTTATAAGCATGAACAAACAGGCTGTTATTATATTATAAAATAATAAAAAAAATATTTCAAGCTGTTGAAATAACAGCTTCCTAATTTCACGCAGAATTATATAACATTTTGATTATGCATTGAGTGGGTTACCTACTTTGTCAATATCATCATTTTGTTTATACAGCTAATCTAAATAAGCATTTTAGCCGCCACCTGATTATTATTGTATTTGTTAATTTTATTATTGTAGTTAAGCATGCTGCAAATGGGGTAGAGGAAAGCAAATTTTGGGGTTACGGAGGCTATGGTGGCCCTTGGTATGGTGGTTACGGAGGCCCCTGGTATGGTGGTTATGGTGGCCCTTGGTATGGTGGCTACGGTGGCTGGCATGGTGGCTATGGTGGCTGGCATGGTGGCTATGGTGGTTGGCGGGGTGGAAGGCGATATGGTGGCTGGCGTAGTCCTCATGGTCATGTTGAGAATAGTATTGATGCTAATCCTCGCAACTAAGAAGGAAACATAACAAAGCCTACGGGTTGGTTTTATCTTACCGCTTCAAATAAAACTCCGTGAGAAGGGTAGTTGTAATATAAGGGAAAACCTTTCTTCACTCTCGTGATATAAATGAATAATAGTTTGGTTCTATTTTCTTATCTTATTTTTCTATATATTTCTTTTGCGAAACTTAGATAAAAAAAATTAAGAGTACATTTGTTTCTCATTTTAAAAACATTGCTTTTAAAATTCTACATGTGTACCATTTTTTCCTCCAACGCTATTGCTAAAGAATTTGATAATATAGGGTTGAAAACTTGAGGCCAAATTATATGTATAAAGGTTTATTCACTAGATAATAACGTGGACACTATATTTTTGTACCATCAATCCATAAAATTTCAACCGGTTAATTATCTATAATGGTTTCAAGAGATGGAAACTGAGCATAATACAGGTTCCTAGTTTAAAGAGGTTTTGACAACAGACGGATAAAATAAACTTACCAACAATTTATGTATGGAAAGAAAGATGCAAATGGATACGAGTCCAATCGTGTTTTTACATATGCTGTCAAATGAAAGTCGAAGTTCTATGGTTTTCATTCAGCTCTCACACTTTAATTGGTGTATGAATTTTCTTTTTCTTGTCCCCATCTTAATTGGTCTCTATCCTTTGTTGAAACCACTTAAAAACTGAATTTGAATTGAAATGTTTACTGTCAATTAGTGTTTTTTATATATTCTGTCAAATTTGAATTCACTGCGTTACATGATTTAGCTAACTTTTACAGGAATTTTTCGTATTACATTATTAATAATCGAAATTTTATCCGCCCAAACATTCATGTTTTATTTTGTTATAAGATGTCCCACATTTATTAGGGTTAAAAATAAGAGGTTGTATACTCTTTTTCTTGTAGTTATTTTAAATTTTGTATATGGGTTTAGGTATCTTTAGTATTTTATTAATTTTTTTGTTAATTAAAAGAAATAAGAAATGTTATGGAGCCAATCATGATTGTGCGTAAGCTCTTGTCATGTATGCGAGATACTTGAATACATTATAGTACTAGCATGTCATGTAACGTTTCGCACTTCATGCATGCTACTTTACCAATCATGTTATTATTTTACACTATTTATGCTTGCTTTTTCTTTTGCCTTAAATATATCGTACAATTCATATTTCTGTAAATCGTCTCTTTAAAATTCATATTAAAAATAATTAATCTCTTCATGCACACCATTTATGTAAATAACTTGTTTTTTTGTCTCACTGTTAATATAAATAATTGAGTGAGTACTAAGATAGGAAACATATCAACATTTGCTTTCTCAAACAAGTGTGGTACCTCTTCATGCCTCCATCACATGATGCTCTGTTCTCATAGCCGACCTAGCATGTACATGTTTCCTTAGCTGACTCAGGTATTACCAAATACTGAAAAGTGATCTCAAACACTTGCTTTAAGTTTTATTTTCATCACCCAATCAAGATCACACTACTTTTCACTCAAGTTTGCTCGTGTTTCTATTAGGACCTACATATACATTAGTGAAAAATGAAACTAACTGGGAACAATGCTGCTCTTATCCTTAAAAGAAGCTTAAATAGATGTCATCTCATATTCAAGCTTATCTAAGCTTAAAAAAATGCAGTTAAAATATTATATTAAAATTTGTATGAATTTTGTATATAATATAACGTACACAAACCTTTCATATTTTATTTTGAGTATTTCATCTATCTATATGTTCCCAAGCAAATTCAATTTGGCTGATGTAACAAGTTATTTGCAAGATAATCATTTCTTTTTCTCACTAGATTTGATACCCTATTAAGAACATAGATTACTCTGGCATCAGAAAGGTAATTTGCCAGCTGAGAAAGCTTAGTGACACTGACACGCACACTTGAGCAATATTTAAGAGAAAAGGTGGTAATGCGTCCTAAATCATGCAAGAATATTTAAACTAACCATGATATTTAATTACCCCAAAATAATTTCTAGAAAAGCATGGATGCTATTCCCTAAAAGATTGCCTTTGCCTTAAAATTTTGAACAAAAGATGGTTCCATACAACAAAAGAGCCCAACTATTGAGTTCAACCGACTTCAACCATAATATCATAATATTGTAATTGAAACCTTTTTATTTTCATTTTCATAATCAATAGTTTCAACATCATCGAAGCCTTGCACACTAAGAAGTTACCTTATATCATCCACATTACATCAAACTTTTAGTAACCATCCACCTTTTTTTTTTTTCGTATTAATAATGACGAGGACCTTTTACAACACATTGTTTTTCTGATAAAAGCGACCCCAAAAGTTATCTTCAACCACCGAATAACCATCTTCCTTTATTCTTCATGATGACAAACAGATGACTCATCCAACGAAAGTCAAGATTCACCTTCTATGTTATCATTTCTATATATATATATATATATATATCCATCGAAGTGATCATAGCTCTTGAATATATCTAACTAGATATCATAGAAGAAGAAATTTACTTGAAATAAAGATTAGACAGCATGGCCTCTTTTCTTCAAGAACTACTAATTGGATTTCCATTCACCTCAGCAGCATACTTGGGTGAGAAATCATCAAAAAGATACTTGCCTGATTCTTCCAGTCAATTCAACAAATTATCTACCACAAGCCAAAGCAAAGTAAGATATATCCTTTATTTGTTAGTTAATGGATTGTCAATATTGTTTAAAAAGCAAATTAGAGAAAAGAAAAACTTGATTTCAAAAAATTTATAATTGTTTGTATTAACAACATTGAATGTCTTAATTTTTCAGGTAGAGTAAATTCAGTTCTTACCAGGATGAACAAGCTTGGGAGAAAGACTAACAGTTTTGCAAAGGACTCAAAGAACATGGTACTTATATACCCTTCAAATCACATTTAGACATTATTACCCTTTGAAGTGGGAAGAATCATTAATCATTTAGTATATTGGATTAATGAGGTTCACGCTAACAGACAACTTGCATAATTATTTATAATTAGTCCTCAGTAGAACATATAACTGGATTGTAATTGCTTATAAATGTTTTTTTCTTTTGTGACATGCAGTTAAACTTGGGCATAAAATATCCGATACAGTAAAGGGGAAACTAAGTTTAGGAGCTAAAATCATTCAAGTTGGAGGAGTGGAAAACGTGTTCATGCAACTATTCAATGTTAAAGAAGGAGAGAAGCTACTGAAAGCATCTCAGTGCTATCTATCAACCACATCTGGGCCTCTAGCAGGCCTCCTATTCATATCCACTGAAAAAGTGGCCTTTTGCAGCGAGAGATCTATCAAGGCCTATTCCTACACAGGTCATTTGATCAGAACCAATTACAAGGTAATTAAATGAGTAAAATATTGTTTTTAGTTCTTATAAAATTTATAGATTTTGATTGTGGTCCTTAAATTTTATTTATTTTTAATTAGTCTCAATAAAATACAAAAATTATTTGTTTTTAGTCCTTGATGAGAGACTTAAAAATACGTGCACTACTTTAATAAATATAGATACTAAACATGATTCAATTTAATTAAGAATAAAATAAAAATTTGTAAATTTTATATGGACTAAAAATATACTTGATCCTAATTAATTAATACTCCTTATACAAACTTTTACTATATACGTATCTCTTCAAACTCTAACAAAAAATTTTCAAAATTCTGTCATTGCAGGTAGTGATCTCACTTGAAAAGATAAGGTGTGTTAATCAAAGTCACCATGTGAAGATGTCTTCCCAAAAGTACATAGAAATAGTTACAGTGGATAATTTTGACTTCTGGTTTATGGGTTTCTTAAATTATCAAAAAGCATTCAAATTTCTTAAGCAGGCTATCTCTCAAGCGTAGAGAAAGGGAAAGAAGAAGATTTCTCATTCTCATTGCTTCATCAGTAATTGTTGTGTGTGAAACCAGAAAAGGCCGAACACAATACAAGTACAGATATACGTTGTGTAGTCTTGTTAACAAAAGAATGCAAGTTGATTGTTCAATTCTTCACTTGTCTACTCAAGTAGATTCTATACGTTTTCTAAAGTTTCACAATTCTCTAATAAAAATTTTAGAGTTTGTTAAGAATATTGAAATGTAGAACAAATAAATGAATAATTTGATTTGAAATCAAGTTCAAATATTTTTAAAATTGAACTTTGATAGCCATGCATAATACGGATGTGAATTGTTCTATTTTTATAATATTAATTATTTAGAATTAATTTAAGTTATTATATATTTATCAAATACAATATGACATAATTTATTATAAATTTCATTAAATTACATATTTAATACAAAAAATATTTACTTGACATTAATTTTATATTCTAAATATTTGTAAGATTAACTAAATTATTTATATATTAAAACTAGTTAACTTTTATCATTTAAATATTTGTAGTAAAATTTTATATTTAAGGTAAATGATAATAATAAATTTTAATATGATAATACTTTTTTACTTTGTCTTATATTTTATTTGTTAAAATTTATTGATGCTATTGACTTTGATTTTTCAATAACAATATCTACAATCATTTCGGATTATTTTCTTTGTATTCTATATATATTTTGTACAACATCGTAAATGAATTTGTAGTAATATTTGACTTGGTATAATGTTTATTTACTATTTTTATTTTTAAAATTATAATTATATTATTATTTTATATTTTTAAAATGTAATAGCATTTCATTATTTATTTATTTTTATTTTCATTCAATTGTTTGGTAGTATGAAAGTATTTCAGAATTTACCTAGTATATTAAAGTAAATAAAAAATTTCATAACTAATAAAAAATAATAACATAATTTTAAATAGTTATTGTAGAAAACACCGGCAAATATCTATAATTTCTTCCTATATTGTTGATAGGTATTAAATTATACTCATAATTTCTGGTTAATAATCTTAGTAATAATTTTTAGTACATTATTTTTTAGAGTATTATTTGATTATTAATTTATTTATAACTTTTCATGTTA